TTATTTAGGCAAGTCCACCTCTATTTTATTCTGCATTGAGAGTCACAACTTTATAGAAGATTATCATTTAGATAATTCTTACCCCCCTGTTGATTCTGGATCTCCATCATCACATTCCTCGAAAGATTCTTTTGTTCCATCTTTGTTGCAAATTTATTCTGAATTGAGTGGTACAAACTAATTTTTTTTCTAAAGAATAAATCCATTAGATTTTAAGTACTTTGATAGGACTTAATCTCTGAAAACAAGAGAGATTTCCCGATATTTAGTCGATTATACAATAGTGATCTTTATCTGTTTGACAATCTTGATTGCACCTAATATTTATTACAAATTTGAATCTTGGTCTAAAATCATAGTATTCTGATCTGAATATTTTCCCAACATAGAGAATTAGAAGATTACTTACCCAAAGATATTTTGATTTTCCTGGCTCGAGCAACTAGTATTTGTTCTCGTATCTATACACTCTCTAGAACACTTACTCTACTAATTCAGAGTTATCAAGCATGTAAATCCGTTTTCTATTGTGCATTTATTTCCACAACTATATAATTATCATAGTTCATATTTACCCATCATTATTGACCAGATTTCCATCGTCACATTCCTCTCCAATATCAAGTATTCCATCACCACAAATATTATTTGAGAGAACTTATTACTAATGGAGACTACAAGCAGATGTATTGTCATTATTGAGTAAGCATATATATCCTTGTTCAACATTGCATTCAGTGTCACATCTAAAGTTATTAAAAAGATATTGAAAACAATACCCATCCGCAGAAATTTTATTCCCATCATTGCAAAATGGTAAGTTTTAATCTCCACATTTTTAAGAGCATAACGATTTTATACCAAATTTTTAACTACACTCAAATCCTTGAGTGACTTAGCAATTATCATTGCATCTATAGGGAAATTTAAGACTAATATAACTTCAAATAAAATTTTGCTTACCCTGATTCATGTTCTAGAGCTGATGTGTGGCCTTAATCACATTGCTCTCCTTATTCATGAATCCCATTAAGATTGCATTTTGATCAACCCATAGCATTTATCTCCATATAACAAAGCCAAATGCCGAGGCTTAATAAATTTAAAGTTGAAAATGAAATCTTTGTAAGGAAAATCATTGCTTGTAAATTTTAAATAACTTCAATCAAGATTAATATATATTTTAATAGCAGGCTAGTTTAAGTAAATTACTTGATTGAGAGAATTCTAGTTTAATTAATCATTAATATTTGAGTAAATAATTGACATATTGAGTTCTATAAATTAATTTACTTTCTAAATCTTTTACTATTATAATTATTACTGTCCAGGGGTTTTGGGGTTTTGGGG